AAATCATGGCCAAGAAAAAAAATAACTCAAACAAAATGAAAATTCAGAAAGCAAAGGGGTAAGAGACACAGGCAGGGCCACAGGGCTGCAGTCATCACCATGTCAACGTGCTGTCAATAAAAGCAGCTTCAGCAATYTGTGACTTTTACTGCACTCCAGGCATTTAGAGATGACTAAGGTGCCTCTGCCCTCATGATGCACAAATGATGCTGAAAAAAAGACTTAAAGAACACAATCAAAAATAAAGAATATGCTTTTTTTTCCCCCTTTAAGGAACAAAGCAGTACAGGGCATCAAATAGAATGAAGAATGGTACTTTCTAAATTGTTTCAGCATCTATGTAACCCCTAAGGATCCATCAGAAATTAAGTGATCAAACACTGCACTGCAAGTAGAGCTAATTTCTCAGCCAGGGTCTCCAATTTAYCCTCAGGGAGGCTCAAAACCTTTACTGCAATAATACAACGCACAAAAGTCTCTGAGAATGTGGCCAGAAGCCGGTGTCTGTAACCTCCAAATGCTTTTTCATATATGCCCTTTCTTTCACTGCCACTTAACCTTGTCTCTTGAACTGTTTTAAACAGCTCAAAACCATACAGTGAGAGGAGGTTATTGCATTCACCAGCTGCTCACGCTCCCCAGGGCTGTTTAACACCAGTAACAAAAACTACAGAAAAATGAGTGTCCTGATGACACAGATGAGAGGATTTCTAAGCAAGTCCTGACAGGGATTTGCTGCTTTACCCCTACAGAAACTGCTGCTTCCTGAATCCAACTGCAATGGAAAGGGAGCATAAACTCTGGGTCATGAAGCTGCTGCCTGGGGAACCACTGAAAGATTCCTCTATTTTTGCGTGCTGCCAGTGTGCAGAATGGCAGTTCCCAGCTCAGCAGGAATAGGGAAAATTCAGAATCCCAGAGGGATCTAGATACTGGCTAATCCCTGGAGACCCCAGTCCAGCATTAACAGGCACAATCTCTTTACTGGGAGCAATGAAACACTGGGTACACGTGAATCCAAATGAGACAGACTTGGAACAGACAGAAAAGCCAAACATGCTGGCTGTGAGCAGCTATACTAATGCCAAAGCAGCTCCACAAAAGGACACACTCAGCCAGGATACAGGAGGATCTTCCCTTGGATTGCCCTCTGCTTTCAAAAGCACAAGCCTCATTTCCCACACGTGTTTTTTCCCACTCTACATTTAATTCCTCACACCTGTAACCCAGAAGCACCACAGAGCACACCTGGTTCCAGGGGCAGCATCAACACCCCTTGTTTGGGTTATTGCTATTTGTTTTTTTATTGAAAGCAAAGCAGGCATTACCTTCCGGAGGTCACCCCCCGAGCAATATTCCATGGCCAGGAGTGGAACATCATTAACAAGGAAGTTCATCTCCTCGGGGACCTCACAGGCTCTCACGACGTTGGGATGGTTCAGCCTAAGCACACGGAGAGCAGGATGAAAATTCTGACTCCTCTTGGGAGAATGAGACAACAGATTGCAATCCAATCATGTACTATGCTCCAGGGACAGCTGGTTCCCCWATTGTATCCTTGCCCTCTCTTCAACTGGTACCTGTAAGTATCCAGGTGCAAAARCTCCATACCTTGGGAATTGACAAACGAGTGATGAGCTGAAAAGATGTGTCAAAATTTAGGTACAGGACTTTGGTGATGGGGATCCAAGCTCAAGTTCTGGATTCTTGGCAAAGTCATCACTTGTGTGTGTGTGTGTGTGTGTGCCCTCCTGCATGTGGGAACAGATTCCCCCAGCCCAAGGGTTTCACAGGAATCCCTTAACACATGTGACTGCACCAGGCAGCTGAGAGCCACAAAGAAAAGGATTCACTTCTGCAACTGAATTTAAGCAGCTGCTTCCTGACTCTCTTAAACACATGCTACTCTTGGGAATACATGACACAGTCAGAAGGAAATGAAAGCACATTATTTGTCTACACCTTCCAAAGCCTCTGGAAGCCACTGCAAGAGCAGCTGGTGGCTCAGTGCTTKTTTTCAGCAACCAAATCAGAGGTCGCCAAGCCTTGACTTACAAATTCAGGCTCCCCTCAAGTGGTTTCCCCCAAAGGCAGGGCACTCAGTGAGCAGGTGAGAGTGACAAAGTGACAGAAGGAGCTCAGAAAAGCCCTGAACAGCAGGGGCACCGGAGGCCTTGGGGAGGAAAACTCAGAACATCCCTCCTCCCACCTGTGAGACAGAGGATTTCCTGCTCYGGGATATCTCTCAAGGGAGCAGTTCTGTGAGACCCCAACACCCAGGGGCACCCCCCCACATCCMTAAGGCCAGAGTTGTCCAGCTGTGGTTCACCTGCTGGAGGGAGGGTGGGCAGCACAGAGTATGGACTTGCTCACAAAAAAGCGTAAGGAGAATTTATTCTTTACATTCGGCAACGTGACATAAAAAAAAAGCAATTCCAGGATCTCAGGCTGCTAAATCAAAAACAAACGTACTGCGGGGTATGAGAACACAAGGGTGTTCCCAAGTCACAACATCAGAACTCAGCCCATAGGGTGGTGTGAGTTTGGAGGAATTTCGGATGAGTGAACAGTCCAGCCATTACAACAGGGTAGGGCGCTCGGGGGTCACCAGCTCCCAAGCCAAGGCATGAACTGGGACACCTTGGGATGAGGGAGAAACCGGCACAGGGCCGCCAGGTGATGGGGCTCCAGGGGCTGAGCCCCGGCCGCCTCCACTCCCGAGCTGGTACAGCAGCAGAGGCACCAGCTGTCCCCACAGCACGGTCCCATCTCCCCAGCCGGTSCAGGGGCTGACCCGCAGCACTCCCCTCTCCCAGCCAGTCCATGGACTGACCCCCGGCTGTCCCCTCTCCTGCTCAGTTGWGGGGCTGACCCCCAGCTGTCTCTTCTCCTGGCCGGTCCGGTGGCTGACCTCCAGCTGTCCCCTCTCCCGGCCAGTCCACGGACTGAGCCCCGGCTGACCCCTCTCTCTGGCCAATCCAGGGGCAGACCCCGGCTGTCCCCTCTCCCTGTCTGTCCAGTGCCGCCGTGCCGAGCAGAGCAGAGCGGAGCCGGCCCGCCCGCACTCACTTCTTCATGATGTCGATCTCGTGACACCAGCGGTCCTTGTTCTTGACACTGAGCTCCAGCCGGCACGACTTGATGGCCACGCGGTCACCCGAGTCCTGCGGGACACAGCGCCGTCAGCMGCCCCGGCCCGGCCGTGCCCTCCCCGCCGCCCGGCCCGACCCCACCTGGTGCTGGTACAGGCACACGTTGCCGAAGCCGCCGGTGCCCAGGCGGTCGCGCA